GTGATAAAAAATGGACAGACGATACACCAAAGCAAGTGTTGCCCATGTGCACCTGAGCGTAGATGTCCATGGGCGACAAATCGCCAGTGAAGGGGTTGCACCTCCTGCTGGCGGTGCAGTGGGTCTATTTATATCCCCCCGACCCACTGGGGGTTATAAACTAATCATTTGCAGTGGATATAAAGTCAAAAGTTGTATAAAGCAGTGAAAAATAAACACCAAAAGTGATTTATAATATCTGAGCAAGGGGTGGCCCATGAGTAAAATAAAACACTATCCTGGTCTATCGTCTCCATCCATCTTTCAGGCTTCCCGAGAAAGTTGCTATGGGTCTAGCTTTTCCTCGTACGCTTTCCACTTTTCCAATTGGGGAGGGTAAGAGTCAAATGATACCAATAGCCTAACTCCCACATACCTAAAAAGTGATGATCGAGCGCATCATTCTACCGCATCGCGGCACAAATCCTGATTTTTTCAGGGCACTGCTTTACAGTCTCGCTACCTCAGAATTACATAGTTCTATTTGACATTTTTGTGAAAGTCAAAATCTTTGACTTGGGTGTCAAATTTCACAAAGCTAGGTCCTGAGCAGATAAAACTTTGTAATTCTGGGTTAGCGCAGTGGCGACCCGCAATGGCAAGGTTTTGAAATGTTTATATTATAATGTTAGTCTATAATATTCTATGTATGTATTTATCTATAATTATATCTTTGTGTATGCTTTGTTTGTTTGCTATTGTAAACCAAATTGCCTTTCTAGGATCAATAAAAGTGTAAAATTGTAATTTATTCAATTGTGTTTATCTATTAGAGGAACAGAAGAGATACTAGAAAGCTCACCCTTAAGTGTTGTTGGTTGCACAATAACCTCTTCGCTCTGCACGGACTCGCCATAGCTGTTGACAGCAGTACAAGTGTAGGTGCCGTAGTTTTCGGAACGAGAAGCGTCAATCATATACTTCCGGTCCACCTGGAAATAATTAAAAAATCCGGACGTCTCTTCGTACGGCACAGTTCTTATCGGTGAACCATCCTTGTAGAGTCTGGAAAGCGAAAAGGAAAAACGGAAGAAAAGATGTTATTTGTGATATTATTAAGATAAGATAAGATAAGATAAGATAAGATAAGATAAGATAAGATAAGATAAGATAAGATAAGATAAGATGAGGAGGGAAAAACACCTGTGCTCCACTACATTCAGAAGTAAATAATTAGGTGGTTTGGACATCTGGCACGTATGGCACCTCACCAGCTTGCCCGTAAACTGTACAACAAAAGGATATCAGGGTACAAGGCAAGAGAAAGAACCAAGGAAGACCTGGATCGAGGGTGTGAAGGGTACCCTGAAGACACACAACATCCCACCCAGCTTCATAGAGGCGGACCCTTTTCCCATTTGACGCCTTTGCTGGTACAAGAGAAAGGATAAAGTAAAGTAAAGTAAAGTGAAGTAAAGTAAAGTAAAGTAAAGTAAAGTAAAGTAAAGTAAAGTAAAGTAAAGTAAAGTAAGGTAAAGTAAAGTAAAGTAAAGTAACGTAAATTTACGTAGAGTAATGTAACGTTTAGTAAAATAAAGTAACCTAAAGTAATGTAAAGTAAAGCATTGTTAAGTATCGTAACGAGAAGTAACGTAACATAAAGCAACATAAAGTAAAGTAAAGTAAAGTAATGTAATGTAAAGTAACGTAAAGTAAAGTAATATTAAGTATCGTAACGTAAAAATAACTAAACATAACTTGAAGTAAAGTAAAGTATGGTAATGTAGTGCAACGTAAAGTAAAGTAAGGTAAAGTAATGTTAAGTATCGTAACGTAAGTTAACGTAACATAACATAAAGTAAAGTAAAGTAAAGTAAAGTAAAGTAAAGTAAAGTAAAGTAAAGTAAAGTAAAATAATGTAGTGTGACGTAAAGTAAAGTAAGGTACAAGACAGCAGCTTGCTATGAGGCCTGTGTACCTGATCTTGTTCTCCGAGTTATAGAACACTCCTCTCACTGTACAGGTTAAGTCCACCGTCAATGCTGATGACTGACCATCAACAGCTGAACTAATGAAGCTGGTCACAGTGGGCGGTGGCAGAGGTGTGACTGGAGACGAAGAATGACGGGAGGTAGAGAGAGGTGGTATAAAGGGGATGGAGGTGAGCGGGGGAGGATGCGAGGTAAGGCGAGGTGGGTATACTCTCTCTAACGCACACACACA